AGGATCATATTTACTACAGGTGGACACATCTCCTGCTCAGCTATGCAAACTGGTGGCAATCCTGACTGAATACCTCTCAGCTCTGCCCAGGCTGCATCCCTCAGTCTCACTGACAGAGCAGAAACAGTTTATCCAATATTTCCTCTTGGATCAAGGGTTTGTGATGGGGTCAAGTGGTGTTTCATAATGTATTAATTTTCCCTGTAGGGACCTGCAGCTGAAACTGAGTACTGTTGTGAAACATTAACACATTCCCTTCCCAGAATTAATGGAAAGATAAGGGGAAATTCTCTCTTCCTCCAAGTTCGTCTTTTCCCATCTAACCTGAACTTGCACCACATCCATGGTGCACAGCATTGGAAGAGTGTAAAACTCTGACTTCTGATTAATTTGATTCAATTTAAAATAAAGATAACTTTCAGTTTTACATAAAAATAATTTCAGTTGGATTTTGAAAAGTTCCCTTACACCGAATAACTCCTTTTCCAATTAACAGTTCTACTGAACTTAATGGAATTGAACTTAAGGTGTAAGAGTTCACTTAACATGATAAAGCATCACAGAATCAGACTTCACCATAGGAAATATTTTTTGGTTTGTATTTACAAGGATCCCGCCCAGGAGGCATCTTGTCTGTGGGAGGAGCTCTTAAGCATATCCCCAGACAAGAAAATACCAATAATAAATAGATACAACATCAAAGGTACATTGGTATAGCACCAGCAGAACACTATGGTGGCATCACAGGACTTCTAGTTTTCCCCAGGGTGAATAAATGCAGGTACTTTAGCAGCTATAGTACCTCTCTGTGAGTCATGACATGAAAATCTCATTTAGGTGCCTAAGGAAAGCACACTTGGGAACACTAATGCAGTACTTTTTAAAGCTACTCTTGCTACCCATATTTTTGTGGTAAAGCTCCTAACTATCTGATTTTATTCTCTGCGACAGTGCTGCCACTTGTTCTTCTAGCCAGAGATACCTTAAATACTCATGATCTGGGGACCACAACAAGACTTGGTTTCCTTGAGAAGCCATGAAGAATCCCTGAGTTGTTTTTCTCCGCTACACAGTGATTGGACATAAGTCACTTCAGAATTTCAAGTGTAAGCTCTGGTAAAAAAACCCACAGAAAGTGGAGATGAAAAACTGCATTGAAATCATCATGCTTCTGCCACAGAAGAGAAGTAACACTTAAGGCGTGACCAAACCAAAACAGTAAGGAAAGAGGAAAATTCATGCTTCAAGAAGACTGCTTTTCCTTGCCAAATAGCTTTGCAAAGCTCTGCCTAATTAGGTATCTCCTATCTCCCACATGCCCTTCACATGCACAGTTTGGCAGGAGGGTTCTTCCTGTCACTAAGCACCAATTTTCTTTAAGATATATTAATTTGCATTTTCCAAGGTCAATCTCACTGTATTTGCTGCCCGTGTTTATAACGCCTCTTTGATAATCAGTATTTCTGCTCTCTCTAGTGGGTTAGGCATGTCTGAATCCTTGCTTCTTTTGGTATTTCCATTACACTTGGCTTTCCAAAACGACTTGTAATGGAATATCTTTTCTCTTTCATCAAATTGTCAGTCCACATATCACAAACAGTATCATGAACATTTATTCACTTGTATAATTTCATGAGATTCTTTAAGAGTTTTCTTATGAAGATGTAAACATATTTTATGATTCTGCCAATGTCTGAAAAATCAAGCTATTCCAGTAAGATTATTTTTCAGACACTGAAGCTGTTTCACTATTTATGGCTTCACGTACACTCAAGGAGCCCAATCCTATCTTTTATTTACCCAAACAATTCCAGGGGCATGGATTATGAGGATGGGCAAAATTTGGCCCTGTATACCTATTTCACTCTCATTAAAAGAAAAGCACAAATGTTATTATCATCTGGCATCTTTCAACACTGAATGCTTAACATGATTTTTGGAAGAAGTTCAGCACTTAAATGCCAGTGAAACCAATTGTTAGTATGCGTCAAATACTTCACAATAGCATTGATAGATCATAAAACATGTTTTTGGAGATGTTTTTTAGGTTTCTGTACATTTAACACCATTCTTTATCTCTGACACATGATAGAGCAACCTGGATGACAGCAGATCTGCCCACATGCCCTATATTTTGACTACTTCTACCTGGTGTAATGCATCCCAATATACCTGTACAAGCCTGTTCTAAAGTATTTTGCCTGTCTGCTTTCACTGCAGGGAATTGTAAGGGTAACAGGAAATACTAGTTAGTGTTGTTCTTTATTGGTGTTGAAACCTGTTGAAACTGAGACAGTGTCCAAAGAGAGCATTCACAAGTCTGTACTGTGAAAAGGATCTGTAGCCCCTCTTAGCACTGCCCAACATAGGTAGGTTAGCCCTCCTATAGATTTCAGCTGTCTGTGATCCAAGACCTCGTTCTGACAGCACCAGCTCTGAGAAACTTCTGAAAAAATTGCTCTATCATGAGAAAGTACACAGAGACGTGAGATAAGAAAGCCAAAACAGCAGCTGGTAGTTTTGAGATATGGCTAGTTAGCGGTTCAAGGATTCAAAAGGAAAAAACACTGCTATAAAAACGTGTAAAATCCTAAGAGAGAAAACAGGTGGTTGGAAGATGGCAACCTATTTCAAGGACAGCAAGGACCTTTCTCTGCATGGCTGACAGATGGCTGGCCAGCAGAGACTCACTGCTTCAGAAGAAATACAGCTTCAGGAATGTCACCTTCAGAGCTCCCAAAATGGAATGTTCACATAGGTATGAAACTGTGAAAATCATCACCTTTTAGCCTTTGGTTATGAAATTCCACACCTGAAGACCTCTGGTTTGTCTTTGCTGTGAGCTTTTATTCTTCACTGTCGATATTACTCATATTACTCATAGCGCTAAAATGAGTAATATAATGCAATGTACTGGGGAGCACTTCTAGAGCATGGGAATCAATCATTCCTAAAGCATCTTGACATGATGATCTGGGAATCTTCAGAGAAGATCTGAGAATCCGAGGAACTAGCTCAGACTTCACCTGTCAAGAAACTGATGAAGAGCTTAAAGTTGTAAAATGGCAAAAGAGAAGCTGCAAAACACAGGAATGATAACATCCTCCTGCTAATTAAATTATGAAGGCCTCTAATAAAGAACAGGCAATGTTCCAATTATGATTATTTTATATTAATGCTTTGGCAACTATGAGTTTCTGGTTGTATGTTAAACAGGTGTATTTAAATGGCATACATAAAGCTACTCCTTTCCTTCCCTAATTCTGTAACAGAAAGAAACCAACCAAATGCTACCACTGAAACACAATTAAACCTCAGAATTCAGTCCCAAAGGAGTTTGACAGAAATGTGAACCACAGGGTACTCTGACCTGATTGTTTTGGTGTGACGGTTGCATATACAAATTAAACCTCTCAATCCCACTCAAAGTTGTATCAGTGGAAATTCAAACAAGTGTAGTATTGTCCCAGGATAAGGAATTACAGGGAAAAGAAAAAGAATAGAAAAGACTGACAGTTTGAATTGCACAGTGATCCAGTAAACTGCAGAGATTAAAGATCTTTCACCAATTAATGAAAGTGAAATAATAAACATTTTATCTATATAAACATTATAGAAGTCTGATAGTATATTAGCATGTGACAAAATTCATTCCTTGAGCACCTGAAGACATACAAAAGTCAACTCTATGTATTGCAATGCTTTGAGTACTTTCTGTATTCAGTGCAAAGACTCGTAGTAAGGAAGATGGCACAAAACCCTGAACTGAAGAGTGCTGCATAACTCTTGTGGTGTTGTCAAGAAAGGCTTAAGAGAAACTAGTCTCTTAGTATGGCCAAAGGCTCACTAAGCAGTGAATTACCACTGGGGATGCTACTCTACCTCTCCCTAAGACTCTGACTCATTTTTGGTCTCTTTTTTTTTTTTTTTTTTTTAAATCTGGCTTGTAGGAGTAGCATATGTTTTGCAATGAAACCGCATCGATGGTGGAATCTCCTTCCCCAACTTTCCTGGGCCATTTGTTATATAACAGTGCCTGGCAGTGCTTTAGTGGCTTCTCAGCTGCTCAGTGTTATCAGGGGCTAAATCAAATGAATATTTATCAGGGTCAGGTCCTCGGAAAATAGTTTCCATCTGGGAAAATCTAAACTGACTGACTGACTGTGTAGTTAATTAATATTCAGGTCTCTGATTATTTCTACCAACTGTCCTATTAGGACGGCTTAATGCAGTATAAGAAATAAACCCCAAACCTGTTGTTTATAGATTTCTTATGCTTCCTGTCGGTTATTTGTGTGTTGTTTAGGTGTTACTCCTAATGCTTACAAGAAAAAGCTTAGTCCCTTGCCCAGGACTGCAGCATATTCAATTAAAGGTTAATCTCGAGCTTTCCACTAGCAGAATCTTTTCAGCTGAGGGTCTGCAGTGCTGCGGACAGAGGGAGCTGCCGGTCAACCTACACGCACCCATTTATTTCACCCCAAACCTCGGGAAAGAGCCCTAAGGAGTACCTGTACAGGCTCCCCCCCCTGCGGGTACCGCTTTTTGCTGGGTACGCACTAACCTGAGGAGACTGCTAGTCTAAAAGAGGCTGGGAGAGAGGAGGAGCCCCCGGGGACCCCGGTCTGTCACGAGGAGACGGGAGCGGACCCTGGCCCTGCAGGCTGCCCGCTGGAACCGGCTCGTCCCGCTCCGCCGAGCCCCGCGGACGGCCAAGTGCCGCGGCCGCGCCCCCGCCCGAGCCCTCAAAAAGGGGACAGGGCGGAGGAGAGGCGCGACTCGCACCGGCTGCCGCGGGGGAGCTGCGCCGGGCCTGCACCCACAGCTGCCCGGGGAACTGCCGGGACCCGCCAGCACCTCGAACATCGCCGAGGCTCCCGCTGCTCCGCGCTGCCCGGCGGCACCGACGGCACCGGCAGCACCGACGGCACCGACGGCCGCGGGACCCCCGCAGTGTGACCGCCACTGCCCGCCCGCCGGCACCAGGGCCTGAGGGCACCATGACCCTGCTCAAGCTGTCCCTTATGGCCTTCAGCTTCGTCTTCTGGGCAGCGGGGCTGACCATGCTCGTCATCGGCCTCTGGGCCAAGGTGTCTCTGGGCAGCTACCTAGCACTGTCGGCCAGCGACTATCCCAGCGCCCCCGCCATCCTCTTAGCCACCGGCGCTGCCGTCATCATCTGGGGCTTCCTGGGATGCTTCGGCGCCGCCACGGAGCACCGGGGGCTCCTGCGCGCCTACAGCGCGTTCCTGACGGCCGTGCTGGTGGCCGGGCTGGCGGCCGGGCTCTCCGCGCTGCTGTACCGCCAGACCCTGGCGCAGGGCTTCCAGGACGGGCTGCGCCAGGCGCTGCTGGCATATGGGGAGGACGAGAGGGTGGCGGACAGCCTGGACGCGCTGCAGCGTGCCTTGTCCTGCTGCGGGGTGCTCAGCTACCGCGACTGGCTCGCCTCGCCCTGGGGGCTGGAGCAGAACGGGTCGGTGCCGCTCAGCTGCTGCCGGGCCCGCCGGGGTTGCCAACGCAGCCCTCCCGACCCTCGCAGGCTGCACCGCGACGGCTGCTTCGCCAAGGTGTCGGCCTTCGTCGGCAGCAACATGTCCTATGTTGCCACCGCTGCCCTGGGGCTGGCACTGCTGCAGCTCATCGGCATTGTGCTGGCCTGCTTGCTGGCTACCCGCGTCTCTGCTGGCCTGCTGGGCACCACCACCCCTCGCTGAGATCACCCCGCTCCTGCCCCTTGTCCCTTCCAGCTCCCTTCTTTCCCCCAGAACTGAGTGCAGCCCACTGGGAAAATCCTCCCTTCCTATACACCACTTCCATCTGAGCATCCTCCTCCAGGCTCCATTTCTCCTCTGGAGCCCATGTCAGGTGTGTGTCAATCTATGGCCATCTCCACAGCCCTTCAGAAGGGAAGGTGCTAGGAAGGCACCTCCTGGCCTGGCCATGTCCCACTGCTCCACTGGAGCCTCTGGACTGTTTCTGCAGAGAGTGGTGGCAGCATGGACAGACATCACTCTCTGGGGCCGCAGAGACACCTGGGGCAAAGCTGACTGGTTTTCTGGGTGATATAAATACCCAAGACACTGAAATGTGGGCCAGGAAAGAGGAGAGGGTTTGGGAGAACAAGAGAGGTGTCTCTCAATATTACACCATATGAGTATTCCTCTGAGACTGGAAAATGATGTTACTGCAAAACTGCTGGAGTACACGAGGGGCAGGTCTGGTCCAGGGGCATCCAGGTAGCCATGCCAGAAACTGACACTGGGAGCTGCTTGAGGGACTGTCCAGCGTCATGCACTCCATTGCCGCCAAGATTTTCCACCTTTGCTGTGAGGGGATTCAAGCTGCCATGGGTGGTTTTCCCGCTGTGGTGTATTCAATGCTGCTCTCGATCTAAAGGTGGAGCTGCAGTTCTGTTACTCCCTCCTTCAGGATGTGCCTGTCCTCTTAGCCAGTGCGTCGCCGGTTGTATCTTTGCAGGGCTGCAAAGACCTTAAACGCAGGTCCCTGCCATTCCAGTAGATGGCAAAAGCTGTAGGATCGTATCTGAAGAGGGGTGGCAAGAGAAGGGAAGGGCTCCTCGCCCTTCAGAAGTTTCTTTTGGACTTTTGCAGTGAACTTCAGGGTGAGTGGAACAGACTTATTGTTTTATAGAAGGGTTTCTACAAAACAGCCCTCAGACTCTGACATTTTTCCTTTCTCGAAGGATTTGTCTCTGAAGTGTACCCCCACCTACATTTTGGAAGCCAGATCTGTACAACCTGAGAGTTGTATAGAGGACTCCCAAGACTTGCTATGTAGCCCTGGGTTTGTTCAGATCAGACAGCAGTATAAATCTACAGGATTTTGTTCTTTTTACAACAGTTCTGGGTTTGTATTTGGAGTTTGAGGAAAAACAAGCCCTGCACTTGAGAGGGTCCTGAGCTTTCAGAGTTTCACTTCTGCTTCTTCCCATGTCCTTAAAACCTGTGAACTTGACTTTTACATGTTTCTCTACCTCACAGCACAACGACATGCCCTTCTTACATAGCAAACTAGGGAGGAAGGGTATCAGAAAAGAACCAAGAACCACAAAGGAGCTCCAGGATGTGGCATCTTTTAGGAACCTGACTAGCAAAGCTGCAGAAAATGGGCAAATGCCAACAAATACAAGCAGGGCAAGAAATCTTAAGTGAAAAAGATGACTGATAGCTTCATGGGAGGAATGGTGTAACCTTGGGGAAAAGGGGATTGACAGTGTCCCTTTCTTCAGATATTAGGTGGCTGTTTAGCTATGAAAATCATGTTCCAGATAAAGAGTACAATGTGAACAGCCTTCTCAGTTGTTTGGATATTCATCTGTACAGCTGAACCCTAGAAATGTGTTGGAAATCTCTCTTTATAGAGAAAACAATGCTTCATTTTTAGGGCTGATGTTTATTGTTTATTATTTACATAATTTTTTTTTGTTTGTAAATGTCCCTGTTTTGTGTGGGTTGGGTTTTTGTTTTTGTTTTTTTTTTTTGTTTGTTTTAATTATGCACTAGTGGAACTCCTGTTATTTTCTCAAGTCAACATTATGTTGTTCAATTTTAACAATGGGCAAAAAGTATAGTTTGTATAGGTGTTGCAGTAGGCTTTTAGTGTATGAGAGAAGACAGGATTTTAATGTTAAGTGAACATGTTTCCAAAATGGCTTTTGTAACTTTTGCTAAACTCACCTTCGTCTTCCCAGGATTCTTAGTCTTATCTCTGCCTTTGGAATGTCCTGAGAGATACCTGAAAGTTTCCCTATTGGTTGTTAACCCTTTCTTATCATTGGTTGGTTTGTAAGACCTCCTGGACTCCTAATGGTCACTTTATAATCCCCCAAGAGCTATTTATGTCGCTACCCAGAAAAATAAACTCTCTCTGCCTCTCTCCTCGCTGCTGCTGTCCTGTGGTCTCTGCGGGGGCCATGGAGACCTCGTGGTGGGGGGGAGGGGGAGGGCACTGTCCTCTCCAGGTAAAGGGAAAAAAACCCTAATGCCTGGAGTCCCTCTCCCTATCCAATTTCAACGCCCATATAGGTACTTGAGAAATGAAATCTAGCAAATGCTAAGAGCAAAATAGGTCACTGCTTCAACTCCAATGAAGTGTTTACATTTCTGTATGTCTCCACATGGTTCAACTATATAATAATGGCCAGTCTTCGCGAGCAAAGATCCGGGGAAGGTCTTTCCACCTTCCAGCCTGCGCATTGGATTTTTTAGGTGAGACACAGTGTGCGCGGAACTGAGCCCACCCTTTAATCCTAAGGTTCATCTGCCGGGGCCAAGCCAGCTTGGACGGTGGCAGCGAGGTCCTCAGGACGTAGATGGATTGCTTTAAGGGCTAACGAGCCCCACCTGCCCGGGAGTGGCCCTGACCGGGAATTGAACCCGGGTCTCGGCGGTGACAGCGCCGCACCCTTAACCACTAGACCACCAGGGGCTCCCAATGGTTCAACTAAATGCAAGTGAAATGAAGTGAACATTGAAATGGCATTGAAATGTAAAGACAGAAGAATGTTGTAGTTTTTGTTTTTGTTTTTGGTTTTTTTCAGAAATCCATTATAGAAACAATAAACCAGGTGTTGTGGAGAGTATGGAAAAGGGACATGGAGTTGCACTGGGTTTATTAAAAAAGTATTCTTTATTGGAGTCAATTGGCTCTGGAAATTTACAAGAATATGATATTGCTCTTTTTCTACTCCACTGATTACTAAAATTATTTCTGATTTTGACCCTTATTGCTTTGTATTACACGTAGCAGTCAGTCAGAATGAAGTACACTGTTAAAACACATTCAAGCAAAATCCTTGTGTAGCTATGCACTTCAGTGAATTTGTTCTGGTTTTAAGTTGCTAAGAATATCAAAATAGGAATGAAACTAAGTTTCAAGCATACAAGTGTCTGTCTGTATGGTAGTCCAGTCTGAATCTGAGGACATCAGCTTAGTGTAATGAATAATTAAAAATGTAAACCATCACTCTGCACTCTTGGCCTCATTGAAATAGGATAAAACTTGGCAGTGACCATGTAAATCTAAGTATACTTATATCACCAAAGATTTCATGGACTGGCTGTGAGTGCTAAATGTTTTTACCAATTCCTGGAATTAATAACATTAACTTTTGTAGATGTGTGAAATAAATGTCATTCTTCTCTAATTAATTTCCAGAATAAGAGATTCCCAGTTGCTCTTTGAGTTACCCTGAATTCTTTGTAACCAGTGCCCAAATCATACTTTAATTTTAAAATTTATCTAGATGCAATGTTATTTCGTTCTGGATGGTCAGAATGACAGTCATTGGAAAATGTTACAGTTGACATTGCTACCTACCCCTTGCTGGAAAATGTATTTTTTCTGTCATCCTCTTCAAATTTAAATTCTAATATCAAAACAGCATATTACACTAAAAGATGAGCCCATCTTTTAAGAAAAGCTAATATCAATTTTAACGTTACTGGTTATTCAAATTAAATATTGGAGCAAACTGTGTTGCAGTTGTAGAAACAATAGCTCTGTTGTTTGGACGAAGTGAGATTTAGGATTAACAGGGTGGTAAGATTAGACTCTTGTTATGAAACAAGGACTATTTTATAACATCAGTCTAGAATGCCAAGAATATAAATCTTTCAGACTTCAAAAGTATTTGACATTTTGTCTAACATGAATTATTTGCTGTAGCTGAACTTCGTGTTACAGATAATCAGAACTTTAAATGGCCTCTATAACAGATTGTGACTTTTTAGATAAGAGATGGCTTTCCTGGAGTTAGAAAACTTAAACAATAACAGTAAGATTGAGTAGGTCACAGAAGAAAAAAGATTACTTTTGTTAAAATGTAGTTTTCATGTTTATTTATGTATTCATCTTCTTTAACACTATCTTCTTTCTTCTGGGGAAAATACAATCATGTGCTATCATCAAGCAGCAGATATTGTATAAAACCGTTGACAAGAATAGTACTCACATAAGATTTCCACAGATAAATTACAGTTAAGATGTCCTTTTTCTTAAATCCAGTAACCTACAGGAGATTTTGATAAATCAGATGGCATAGGAACTAAGAAGGAAATGCAATGTTTTCCCAATTGAATGTTTTGGGTTCCAATAAAAAAGGCATATCCATGGAAAGTTTGGGCACCTAAAAAGTCTTACCACAGTCTTGTTCTGAAGCACCAGAAAATATTGGTCAGAAACTTAAAATATAAGTCGCACAGCTAACAGAATTCAAGACTTTCCTTTCATCTGAAAAGGCTTTTGACCATCTGTAGTTATACTTCATTGGTCATGCATACATTATGCTCCCAAATGGTAAAAGTACATATTTCTTCTCAACTCTATTTGATTCAAACACACAAATTTCACTGTGTTCAATATGCTATTTTAGTTGCTGAGAAACTGATTAAAATATCACAATTTAACCTTGTTTTCTTATACCCTCTACTGTCCTCATCTACTTTCTGGGCCAGTAAAATTAAAATATCAAAAGATATAGTGTCCCATGTTATCAAAGAGAACACAATCACACACACATGTTTTTCAGAAGCTCTGTATTTATTGGTCAAATATGTGGATTTGCTTGTGGATGGGACACTGACAGAAAAAAAGAAGCAATTAAAGGAACATAACATTTTATCCTTCACATTAACTTTCATTTGCAATTAACACTCAGTATTCTGTTGTAGAGAGGAGATCTTTTCTTAATGAT